AAAACAGCTTCGAAAAAATCACCTCCCGGGGGCGAAACACCATGCCTCTGAAGGACGAGCTAGTTCCAAAACCACGCCAGAAAACTCCCTAACGTGTCGTCTGAAATCCTAGAAAAACAACATTTTTCGACAGATTCTGTTGCCTGCGGCTGCTAGCAGTAAAAGAGCTTCGAAAAAATCACCTCCGGGGGCGAAACACCATGCCTCTGAAGGACGAGCTAGTTCCAAAACCACACCAAAAAACTCCCTAACGTGTCGTCTGAAATCCTAGAAAAACAGCATTTTTCGACAGACTCTGTTGCCTGCGGCTGCTAGCAGTAAAACAGCTTCGAAAAAATCACCTCCCGGGGGCGAAATACCATGCCTCTGAAAGACGAGCTAGTTCCAAAACCACGCCAAAAAACTCCCTAACGCGTCGTCTGAAATCCTAGAAAAACAGCATTTTTCGACAAGCAGTAAAAGAGCTTCGAAAAAAAATACTTCCCGGAGGGGAAACACCATGCCTCTGAAGGACGAGCTAGTTCCAAAACCACGCCAAAAAACTCCCTAACGTGTCGTCTGAAATCCTAGAAAAACAGCATTTTTCGACAGATTCTGTTGCCTGCGGCTGCTAGCAGTAAAACAGCTTCGAAAAAATCACCTCCCGGGGGCGAAACACCATGCCTCTGAAGGACGAGCTAGTTCCAAAACCACGCCAAAAAACTCCCTAACGTGTCGTCTGAAATCCTAGAAAAACAGCATTTTTCGACAGATTCCGTTGTCTGCGGCTGCTAGCAGTAAAACAGCTTCGAAAAAATCACCTCCCGGGGGCGAAACACCATGCCTCTGAAGGACGAGCTAGTTCCAAAACCACGCCAAAAAACTCCCTAACGTGTCGTCTGAAATCCTAGAAAAACAGCATTTTTCGACAGATTCCGTTGCCTGCGGCTGCTAGCAGTAAAACAGCTTCGAAAAAATCACCTCCCGGGGGCGAAATACCATGCCTCTGAAGGACGAGCTAGTTCCAAAACCGCGCCAAAAAACTCCCTAACGCGTCGTCTGAAATCCTAGAAAAACAGCATTTTTCGACAGATTTTCGACAGATTCTGTTGCCTGCGGCTGCTAGCAGTAAAACAGCTCCGAAAAAATCACCTCCCGGCAGGGAAACACGATGCCTCTGAAGGACGAGCTAGTTCCAAAACCACACCAAAAAACTCCCTAACGCGTCATCTGAAATCCGAGAAAAACAGCATTTTTCGACAAATTCTGATGCCTGCGGCTGCTAGCACTAAAACAGCTTCGAAAAAATCACCTCCCGGCAGGGAAACACCATGCCTCTGAAGGACGAGCTAATTCCAAAACCGCGCCAAACAACTCCCTAACGTGTCGTCTGAAATCCTAGAAAAACAGCATTTTTCGACAGATTTTCGACGGATTCTGTTGTTGTTGTTGTTGTTGTTGTTGTTGTTGTTGTTGTTGTTGTTGTTGTTGTTGTTGTTGTTGTTACTGTTGATGTTGTTCTTGTTGTTCCTGCTCTTGTTCTTGTTATTGTTCTTGTTCTTGGTGTTGTTGTTGATGTTGTTGTGGTTGTTGTTGTTGTTGTTGTTCTTGTGGTTGTTGTTGCTGTTGTTGTTGCTTCTGTTGTTGCTGTTGTTGATGTTGATGTTGTTGTTGTTGTTGTTGTTGTTGTTGTTGTTGTTGTTGTTGTGGTTATTGTTGTTGCTGTTGGTGTTAGTCGTGTTGTTGTTGTTGTTGTTGTTGTTGTTCTTGTTGTTGTTGTTGTTGTTGTTGTTGTTGTTGTTGTTGTTGTTGTTGTCGTTGTCGTTGTCGTCGTCGTCGTCGTCCTGCCGGGGTCGGCGGATAGCAGTGCAGTACCTCTTCTTCCCTTACGCGCTCCCCCTTGCGTCGGCCGGGGTCGGCGGATATTCGGCTGAACATTAATTTACCCCAACAACTAGATGGTTGAAGACGATCAACATGACCGGCCATTTTTGATGGTCCACATTTTGGGTCGCCATGCTCCTACATTTAATCCAAACTTACTTCAAACAATTACTGTTAATATGTAGAGACATATTCTTAAGCTAAGATAGATTACAATACACATTGATAACCCACCCGAAAATTTGGAGGGTCAGTTCCAGAGGGCTTCCTGCCACTCAGGCTGGGTTTTTGGTCCAGCACCAAAGCCTTGACCAACAGCGAAGCCATTGAGGAAATGGGGGCAGCTGCCAAAGAGCGCTGGAAGCTCAGTACAATTTTGAAAGCCTACACAAAATTGAACATATTTTCAGCAGTTGATGGTCTTTGTATCTACTTTCAGAAGTAGGGAAAGGGATATTTTGGGCTGGTTTGACACGTTATGTTCACATTTTTTTCGGATCCAGCCCTGCCAATTCAATTTGCTTCACAGTGAAGCAGTTGAAGCATGGACAACCACCAAGGCTTAGCGATGACAAACGCAGATCGCGTGTTGGTCTCCATCACCCTATGCCCAGCTGGCTAGTTGCGGAGCGGTACATCCGGGCATATCAGGGCATTGAACACGGGATTCCAGGAGCTATTGGATCTGATGTTGGACGTGACTCCAAGATTTCATGTCTGTTAGACTCGTGAGTGGCGGTGGTTGGTTTGTTTTTATCATGGTTTATCATCATTACCATGGAAAATCACCATAACTTCTGGGCTAAATCTTGGGCTATTGTGCCAACTCTGCCATTTTCGCTCGCAAAGCCTCGCCGCGCTGCAGGTCATGCCTTTGGAATTGGCTCCGCTGTATCTAGCGCGTGGCTGGCAGGACGTGCTGCCCGAACATGTTCAGCTTCTCATTGGGTCTGATGTCTAGCAATTCCAGCTGCAGGATGCTGACCCTGGTGGTTCGGACAGGGGTGTCTTGTGCCAGGAGCCGGCCTTGTACTTCCAGGTGCCATTATGATCCATGATGGCAGAATTGGCCAAGGGAGTCTGACGTTTGCTACCCAAGATGTTGGAGTAATTGTTAATTCCCAAGAACAGGTAGCTACTGGATTAGTTGGAGTATCTAGGAATCTTCTGCTGCATACTAAGTGCAGGATGCGTGAGTTGGCAGGATGGGTTCTATGTCAAAAAGCTTCCATCATTGTCATAGCGAGGTGCCAGCGGGATTCGTGGCTGTGGTAGTCCCAGTCAACGAGCAGAGGCCTGGCCCAGACCCGTTCACCGCTGGGAACTGGGTGGTAACCTTCGGATTTTTGGGAGGCCACCCTGGCAGCCATGATCTCGGAGAAATGCAGCATCCTTTTCGCTGTGCTGGGCTAAGAGTTGGGAGGTCTAGCTGGATGGTTTTGGAAGGTGGGCGAAGATGTTCGAACTCGGGGTCTTGTTGAAAGTGTGAACAAGGTTTGACCTCTCGCATAGAATGAGCAGCGATCTGGAAAGGTGGTAGTATTGTGTGTTTACACATGGACACGACATAATCCAAGAAGATAAATGATAAGCATTGATAAACTGTAATATCGACACCAAATATTGCCACATCACCCTGCTGAGTTCACAGGATTCCCTGCACCAAGTGCCCCCGAGCTCAGGACGTCCACACTTTGAAGGCCCTGCCGCCGCCAGAGGGCGACCTGGTGCTAAGAGGAGGCTGCTGCAAGGTGGATTCGGACAAATGACAACGACATCGCCGGCCCAAGCATATTGGATGGTACAAAAAGGGCCTATGTCAGGTTTATGAATTCTAGTCAACTTTCCACAATATTTTTGTTATTTTGAGATGTTTTGGGACATTTTGCCACGATCCAGGGGTTTAGTCTTGGCATTCTTTCTGCTGGCAGGTGCAGGACTTTCTTGAACTCGATTGTTTCGTATGGGGTCATGGAATACTTTCTTCAAACCAGACTCATATTTCCAGGCTCAAAAAGAAAACTCTGGAGAATGCGTGATAAAGGCAGGTGGCAGAACTATAAAGGGATCCCCCCCAAGGCAGAAAAGTGGTTTTCTCCTAGTTTGATATAGTTACAGTTTGACAATGATTTACTTTCATCCTATCTTTTTTTGGGACCCCAAAATCGTTCAACATGTGTGACAGAGAACCCAACTTCTCTTGTTGCAGGTGGGCAGTGGCGCTGATTTTCTGGACGTTAAGGAGGCAAAACTGGGGCCCAATGGTGAGCCGTCGACTCAGCGGTGGAGCGTTTCTCCGCGTCACTCGAACGATGGGAATTTGATTGGGGTAAGAATATGTTAGAATCCCCATCAGTTGGGGGTAACATTCAGGTTGCTGAATTAGAAATTAATAGTAATATCATATGGTACATGGTACATAATATATATTTCTAATATTAGTAATTACCATAATTTATCCAGATAATTTACCAATGTACCATGGTACATTGGCTTCTGAAAATTATGGGTTCCAGCATCCCATTCCACTGAGGATGAGGCCGTTGGAGTATGCTGCCGTGCCGCTGGTGGCCGTTGGAAAGCGTTGAAGCCACGGTGCGGTGGAGCGAACGGGGGATGTCATGGAGATGTCCATGGAGATGTCCATGGAGAAACACCAGGCAACCATGCATAGAAGAAGGTTGTGGTTATGGTTGTGGTTATGGCTATGGTTGTGGTTGTGTTTTTTTTTTTTTTTTAAATAATCCTTCAAGCCCACTGTTTTGAGGATGATCAACTGATGACTTAGCATTTTCAGTTGTTGAGACATGGTGCGCAGTGTGCCAGACGTGGAACATCCATGGGTTGGTGTCAGGAACCTCCTTTGGCTGCATTTCGCCCTCAACCTTTCGCCCGTGAGGCCCACTGCAGGCAAGGTTGGGCAGAGGTTGTTGCTGCACCAAGTGATCCGAAGGATTCGTTCAGATATCGTGATGAAGATGCTTCAAACTTGTTTGCATAGATGCTGCATCGCTTGATGCTCACAAGATATTTGATATGTCTCATGTCGCGAATCTTTTGGCTGTCCAGCAACATCCACACTGGAACAAACTGCTGACTTTTCCATTTGTGACCTAGACTTTGGTGATCTTCGCACCATGGCCTGGATCATGAACTTTGCGGCCAAAGTGTACCATGGCATTGCCGGGGAGGTAGAGCTGGAGGAGCTGGAGGCATCGGAGGAGTCGGAGGGGCCTGACTCACCTTCACCGAAGTCTTCTGCCCCAGCCCTGACGACGAGTTGGCAGCCAGGGCAGGTGGTGCGGCTGGCCAACCTCCAATCCCAACGGCAGCTCAATGGTCAAGTTGCCACGGTGATGCGCCAAGATCCGGAGAAGGGCAAGTGGGTGGTTCGTCTCGAGAAGGATGCAAAAGAGGTTGGACTCGGATGCCATTTTTTTCGACACGGATTTTTAGATACATTTAGATACAGTAGATTGTGCGTACTTGCATGTCCGCTGATAAACTTATACAATAGAGTCAGTCAGAGTCAGAGTTACATACACTTCTGTTTTATAGCTGGTGTTTCAGCCTTTGATCCTGCCGCTTAAACATCCCCCGCAGGTGATGCTCAGCGGTGACAAAATGGAACTTGCCCCTTCAGATGCGACTTCCACAGCCACATCGGACGGGTCAGAGATGCTTTCACTTGAAAGTTGGGACATGTTATCACCAGATAGGTCCAATGCTTCTCCTGTGGAGCAGGAGCCAGGCCAGCCCAAAGTTGCATCCCAGCAGAGCCATTTTGAGGAGTGGTGCGCTGCGCATTTGCAAGGTGCTGGGGAGCAAAAGCAGCTCACTCTGCTGCTGTTGGGTGAGGCTGGCAGCGGCAAGTCCTCATTCTTGAACTTGTTGGGCAACTTCCCTACTGTGATGCAACATGGGCAGGAAGCTTTTGCTGGCAAAATGAGTGACTTTCGAAACTTGGAGTTTGAGAATGGCTTGAAAGACCAAAAAGTCAGCCAGACCTCAGCTGCCACAGTTTATCACCTGAACATGGGCCCATTGAGCCTAAAGATCGTGGACACTCCTGGCTTCGGCGATGGTCGGCATCGCTCTTCTGATTATGCGAAGCTCTTTGTTGACTGCTTGAAAAAGCTGGATCATGTCAATGCAATTGCATTTGTGATCTCTGGAAGAGACTCACGTTTGACTGCTCAACTGAAGGATGTGATGATGGAGGTGTGCACAATCTTTCCCAAAGCTGCCAAAAACAACATAGTTGCTATCTTCACAAACACCATGCAATGCATCCATTGTACTTGAGCTTCAACATTGATGCCTTGAACAGAATGGTTGAACAAACGGTGAAACCGGACAGGCAGATCTTCATCGAAAACCCGTATGTCCTTTGGGAAAGGTGCAAACAAAACAAAGGCAAAGTCGATGATGCAGCACTTCAGACGGAGTTGGTGAAGGCCTTCAAAGATGCTGGAAAAAACCTGGCAAAACTATTCGCTGCCATGCTGAACATGCCGATTTTGAACGCAACAGAGTTTGAACAGTTGTACAAGTTGAGACAATCCATCGAGTCAAACACCATGAAGGTCCTGGCCGAGCAGAAGTTATTGCAGGAGCAGCAAAAGCAGTTGCAGAGACGGAGGAGCAGGATGCAAAGTGCTCAGAAAGTGGAGGATGCAAACAAGAACTACACCAAAACAGTTCATCGCAAGCGCTGGGTCTTGAAGAAATCCGAATACCATGGCACTGCTTGCGGAGTGAAGGATTGCCATTCCAATTGTCATGTCCCTTGCAAATTGAAGAGGACCATGGACAGCGAACATCTCAAGATGTGCAGTGCCTTCAAACTTAAGAGCAAAACAGCGACGTTGCACTCGGAAACTGACAGAAAGGAACTTCTCCATCACATGAAAGACACAGCTTGTCCATTCTTGGTTGACAACGACGACCTAAATGGTGATGGTGTGGTGTATCAGAGCGTCCTTACGAACGCCAATGCCTTTCAGTTTCAGAACCACCACGTCATGGCAGGGGCCTTTGTGAAGATCCATGCTGCGAGTGAATCTGGCTGGGCTACGGAGAGCCATGTGACGGATCTTCCCCTCCCTGCTGACATCAGGCTCTGTGACAAGTTTGACCAGGACATTTGCAAGGTCTGTGGGCATCATCGCAGGTATCACTTTCATAGGAACAAAATATGGTGCGAGGAAGAGTACAGTAAAGAGGTCGTCGATGAAGAAACCAAGCAGAAGCATGATGTTGCATTGAGGCGCAAGGAGAGAAATAAAAGGCATGTGAAGGAGCTCGAGAACAAGATTGAGTTGTCTGGAAAGCGGCAAAAGACCTTGGGTGCAGACTTATTGACCAACATCCAGCAGTTTGAGCAACATGGGCTTGGTGGCAACAACACGATGTTTGTACAAGAGCACCGCGACTTGTTGCAGGGCATTGGTTCAACCTGCTGACTCCGTGGAGCAGCGCAGGGAGGAAGCATGCGATCAGCCTCCAGAAGCGTGGCCACGGAACCGCTTGGAGAATTCAGCCATTATCGCAGTTGCAAGTTGCGCCAGCACTTGAAAACACGATAAGCAGCCAATCTCCCATTGTCAGTTGTACTTGGGTTCAGGGGTGCAGTATTCGCCACCTGCCACCTGCCACCCAGTGTTTCTAGGCTAATTATCCAACTCACAGATCCTGAATGACTTAGCGCATGGTTCTTGAAAAGGCTTGGTGTCGCTGGGCCGGGAGCAGCCGGAGCTGATTTGCCTCCAGAGTTCAGCTGCTCTAGAGCGGTGTTTGAACTGCTGTGATGCAATGGTTGGCTATTCGGATTTCATTGGATTTCGATGACACTATACAGATATATACAGATTATATATGATTATATATTTACGATTATTTATGTGGATTGAAAATTCGCAATGCTTGCCCATTTCGGACAGGAGCGGGGATGCTGCCTGCTGCCCGCCTGGCGCGCTGCATTTACGCGGTCAGTCAGGTTGGGTTGTGCTCCTTGTAGTGGTCCTTGGGATTTCGTTGGTTTGACAACGTGAGACACTTTTGAAAGGTCTTACATGACATGTTGAACTGTGTTTCGATGAAGCGTTTCAAACTGTTTGAAACAAGTGAGGACTCGAGAAGAAGCTTGCCATCTAATTTCATAGATGCAAATATGTTGTGATCGCTTTAACACTTTAACAGTGATCAATCATGATCAATCTACGACCATGGTTTGATAGCAATGTTGGACTGCCTAATGTAAACAGATTCATGTTCCATGCCGGAAGCCAGGTGTGCCAGGAATCCAGACCCATGGACGCGACGTTGAACAAAGGGCTCAGTCTGATGTTGCGAGTGCTGTTGATGCACAAGTTGGATTTAGTACTTTTGCCAAACTTGATATCAGCTAAACATCATGTGCTAAAGGATTGCTGATTGCTTGATATCAGCTAAACATCATGACTCGCTTCAAATGCAGCCTGACATCTGTGCATTCTCTGCGGCTTTTCCAGCGGGCATCCAAATTTGTTCTCTGCCATTTGACCCCCGCCAACTAAGTACACAGACCACTTCAGATAGATCACTTCTCAGGATTAGACTTCTCCATCACAGCAAGAGGCATGAAATGAGACGTGGATAGGGGGCTTGAAATTCTCTGGGTTGCATTTGTCGTGCATCTCCTATCAGCCTGTTGATGGCTACCATTGCCACGAGATGAGATCAGCGATGTTGTCTGACCTTTTTGCGGACTTGGAAGCAAAACTGGAGAGGATGATGAAGTAGACGCTTGTCCAATGAGTGGTTTCTTGACGTCCTGCTGTTGGGTTGAACCTTCCCAATTGCGATAGAACAGGTCTGAAGGAAATGATCATCCAAGGACATCCATACCGGGCCATACCTTGCTGCTGGTGCTGCGAGGTGGAGAAAACCAGGGGTTGGGAGGAGGAATCATCAGATGCTGGGTTTCAAACCCTTAAAGGTTCCTGGCAGCTGTCAATGTTTTCGGGACCTTGATTGTTCTGTTCGGAATCACCTTTGAAAGATTCTAGTTGGAAACTGTTCTGGAAACGAGACAAACCTGATGATGCCACGAATAGATCGATTTCACCAACTCATCCCAGCCCATTCAGGTGGGCATTGGCACTGAGTGAACTTGGACTTTCACAAGGCCACGGTGAGCCGCCGGCTCAAATCTGATCATCTGCTGATTTGGTTCCGGGAAAAAATATGTTCGTCCCTCTCTCAATGTATAGATTATGTAGCCAACAGATGGGTAGTAGTACAGTAGTGTCATAACAATTGAATAGACAAGTGGAACAATTCCAATATAATAATGACCATAGTGTACTGCATGGCTGCATGACTCTCGGATTTTCTTTCGTGAACAAAATTGCACCTAGGATGGTGCCTTTGGAGCATGCAACATTGCCGCTGGTGGATGTTGGAAAGCGCTGAGCCGCACGGTGCGGTGGATGGGTTCTGGGGGCGGTTTTTTTCCCAAGACAAACCGCTCGAAGAGTCGCGGACTTTGATCTTGTCCTGTCCTCCTTGCCGACAGGTTTCAGCAGATCGGCTTGACTCTTGCTGTTGTTGAGTGGGTGATATGACAATCACAAGAATTTGCCGGAAGTAAAGGCCAGACTTGTATTGGAGGAGAAACATGGAGAAACCATGAGGGAATTGTCTTCGTTTTGGTGTCAGTGAGTTAGCGTCAGGAACCTTCTGCCTTTCGCCCTCAACCTTTTTGCCCATAGGCGCTGTTGCAGGCAAAGTTGGGTGGAGGTTGTTGCTGCATTGCTGCATCCAAGTGAACTACAGACCAATTAGTTAAGATATCGTCGTGCCACAAAATTTTAAATGGAAGCCTTCTTTCTTAGTGCTTGTTTCCAATGCTGCGATGTTGTTTGATGCACACAGTACATGTTCCCGCGAAATTTGGCTGTCCAGCACCATTCACAGTTTTGCAAATAAGATAAATAAGCTGCTGACTTGTCCACTTCTTTGGTGCTCTCAGCATGGCCGGGATCTTGAATTTCCTGGGCAACCTCTTCTCCGGAGCTACCGAGCAGGAGGTCCGAGTCCAGTGTTTTTTTGTTTTGGGCAATGTGGGCATGGTATGGCTGGTATGGGGGCAACTCGGGGCGAATGACGCACATGGCTGGTGCTTTTTTAAATATGAAACTGCGCATCATTTATCTTGGGGGTCGATCGATGAACCATTAGATGTGCCACAATGGTATGACACGGATCGTTGGGCATTTTCTGATCAGGAGGAGGATTCCGATGGGCCGCCCTCACCAAAGCCTGCTGCTCCCCCTACCAAACCTGGTCATGTGCAGCCTCTACCTTGGAAGACTGCGGCCAGTTGGCAGCCAGGGGCGGCCGTGCGGATTGTCAACCTTCAGCCCCACTTACATCTCAATGGACAAGTTGCCAGGGTGGTGCGTCAAGATCCGGAGAAGGGCAAGTGGGTGGTTCGCCTCGAGAAGGATGCAAAAGAGGCCGCGTAACTATGTTGAGTACGTTGTTTTCTGTTGACTATGTAGAACGCACATGTATGCCATACTGTGCATAACAATTAATTTCACTACATAAACAACAGGAACTAGTATGATACTAGTATGATACTACTAGTAGTATGATACTAGTATGATACTAGTATATACTAGTATGATAATGTATGATATATATATATACACATATTATACACATATAATATAATATCTGACTTCCTGATCAGTTGTTTTGGATCAGGAGAACAGATCAAAAATTAGGTTTGGTTGTTTTACATTATGTTTAGAAGTGGAGTCACACATGTACGTAGTGAAATAGCTTGTCCCAATAGTAGTGCTAGTTTGGAGGTAGTTTCACGCTAGATGCTTTGACGTAAGTCTTCTGACGTCCTCTTTACTGAGAATCTCGCGGGTTTAGATCAAGAATTTCACACTGCACAAGTGTGTACATTAAACAAATTATATTACTGTACAGTATATACACGGACTCCTGCTTTTTGGACAGAAAAGCCAAATGCTCCAGGGTGGCCATCTGTGTATGGCTTTACTTTTTCTCTTTCTGTGGCTCTTTGTGCTGCGGGTCAAACAGCCCCTGAAGGTGATGCTCAGCGGTGACAAAATGGAATTGGCACCGTCAGATGCAACTTCCACGGCTTCATCGAGTGGGTCAGAGATTCTTTCACCTGAGAGATCCCATGCCGCTTCCCAGCCTGCGCAGCCAGCCCACCCAAAACCATCACCTCCAAAGAACCACTTCGAGGAGTGGTGCGCTGCGCATTTGCAAGGCTTCGGAAAGCAAAAGCAGCTCACCATTTTGCTGCTAGGACAGACGGGCAGCGGCAAGTCCTCATTCTTGAACTTGTTGGGCAACTTCCCTACGGTGATGCAGCATGGGCAAGAAGCAGTTGCTGGCAAAATGAGTGACTTTCGAAACTTGGAGTTTGAGAATGACTTGAAAGACCGCAAAGTCAGCCAGACTTCAGCTGCCACTGTTTACGAAGTGGACATGGGGCCATTGAGCCTGAAGATCGTGGACACTCCTGGTTTTGGTGATACTAGGGGCCGGGCCTTCGATGAGAAACACACGAAGCTCATCGTCGACTGTGTGAAGAATTTGGGGCAAGTGAATGCCATCGCTTTTGTCATCTCCGGCAGAGAGTCGCGTTTGACTGCTCAACTCAAGTATGTGCTCATGGAGGTATGTGCAATCCTGCCCAAAGCCGCTAAGAACAATATCGTCGCTATCTTCACAAACACCACCAGCCCATTGTACTTGAGCTTTGACATTGATGCCTTGAACGGCATGGTTGAGCACCAGGTCAAGCCAGAGAGGCAGATCTTCATCGAAAACCCTTACGTCCTGTGGGAGCGAAGCAAGCAGAACAAAGGTAAAGTCGATGATGCAGCGCTTCAGATGGAGTTGGTGAAAGCCTTCAAAGATGCGGGAGAGAACTTGGCAAAACTATTTGCTGCCATGCTAACCATGCCGAAGATGAACACAACAGAGTTTGAAAGGTTGTACAACTTGAGACAAGCCATTGAGTCAAACACCATGAAGGTCCTGGCTGAGCTGGAGTGCGCACAAGAGGAGCAAAAGAATTTGGAGCAACAAAAGAGGGAAATCCAGCGCGCTCAGACAGAGGAAGACATGAACAGGCACTACATGAAGCAGTTCCATGGAAAGAGCTGGGTCTTCAAGGATTCAGATGGCCATGGCACTTTCTGCGGAGTCAAGAACTGCCACTCCAATTGTCATGCTCCATGCAAGATGGAGAAGACCCCGGACAATGCCAAGTTCAAGATGTGCAGTGCTTTCAGGTACACAGAGAAGAAGATCAGGTTGCGCTCAAAAGCAGACAGAAAAGATCTTCTCCGCTACATGGTGGATGAAAACTCCCCGTTCCATGCTGACGAAGATGGCGGCAATGGAACACAGTATGAGACGGTCTTGCGTGGTGCAGAGGACTTCCAATTCCAGGCCCATCACTTCATGAAAGGAGCTTTTGTGGAGATCCCTGGGTCCGGAAGTAGAGTTGGGTGGGCTGCCAAGAGCCACCTGATGGAGCTTCGTCTTCCAGCTGAGATCTACATTGCTGACCAGTCCGACCAGGACACCTGCAAGGTCTGTGGCCATGATCGCAAGTATCACTTTCATGATGAAAAAATATGGTGTGAGGAAGAGTATAGTGAAGAGGTCGTCGATGAGGCAACCAAGCAAAAACATGAGGCTGCAAAAGACCTGAAAGAGAGGAAGGAGAAGCTCTTGAAAGGAATTCAGGGCAAGATCGAGCAGTGCGGAAAGCGGCAGAAGGTGTTGGGAGCAACTTTGCTGTCCAACATCCGGCAGTTTGAGCAGCATGGTCTCAGTCGCAACTATGCCATGCTGCTGCAGAACCAACGGGACCTGTTCCAACAGCACATCGATGCCACCTTGGAGAACGACGACGGTGCAGATGTTTCACAGTTGAAGAAGGCAAAGGAGGAAGTTGAGAAGGCGCTTCGCGTGGTCCAAGAGAATTTGCTTCGCAACAAAGGCGCTGACTCACTGGAATGGGCTTGCAGCATGCTTGGCGTTTCGCGTGAAGCCACCTTGGACGAAATCAAACAGAAATTCAAGGAGGAAGCCAAACGCCAGCATCCTGACAAGCAAGGCAGTGATGAGCGCATGAAGCAGATCAATGAAGCCTTTGAGATCTTGAAGAAGCAGAAGGAGTCAAAGTGGTGGAGGCGCTTCTGATGAGACTCTGAGACTCTGCTAGACGTGGGCCCCCACAAGCGTGGCCACGGCACCAATTGCATGCCGTCGCAAGCAGCATGTGTAGGCGCTGAGCGGTCAATTAAATTCCCATCATCATTTTAAGTTGCCTGACTTGCAGTACAGTAGGTGTGCCCGGGGCACTTGCCACCTACCACCTACGAGCGCTTCAAGTGCAACACACAGAGCTTGCAGAACTCAGCGGAAAACAAAAAGTCGCCGCGCCGCATTGGGTGTGTTGTCAAGGCATTGCAGTTTGCAATCTTGTGCTTGCTAGGCCCCCTCAGCAATGGAGTGCAACCCAGGTAGATGTTATTGGTTGGCTTGTCTTCTGACGAAGCACCAGGCAGCCAATGTGAGTCAATCTGCACTGTCTGAGATTTGTTTGGATTCTTTGACCTCTGTGCGTGAGTGCAGGAGTGGAGATGCTGCCTGCTGGTCGCTCGGCACCCTGTGATTTCACCTTCAGGCTGGAAATACGTGAGGGCTGGCTATTGCGTGGGTCATTCTGTGGGTTGGAGTCAAAATCAGCCCTGCTCACAGACTGGTTCAGGTTAGGTTCCTGCCCATTTGATTTTGTGTGTTTTCTTCAATAGTTTCCCATGACGCTTCTGCATTGATCTGATCTTGTTTGATCTTGTTTGTGTGTTCTGAGAGTTTCCGGTTTGGCTTAAGCATTCGCAGCAGACTCAACTTTCACAATTGGTACATTCTGGGAGGAAACACTTTGCGCTGACTTGCTTTCAGTCACTCAGAAATTGGACAAATCAGTGACAAACTGCGGGCCATTGACTTCTTCGCCTCACGTCCTGAGCATGGCTGGGCTTTTCAGCTTCCTGGGCAAGGTGATTGAGCGCATTGCCGGCCCGGAGGCCGGACTCCAGTGTTTTGTGGTTGGTGTTTGGACAGATTGGAACAATGTAACCGAAAGGACAGGTGATCTTCAGTTTGACAAGAAACCTAGGGACTGGTGACCTTAGTACCTTAGTATCCAAGTAGAAGTATCAGAGGCCAATGATTTCGAACCAGCAAATTCAGTCCATCCAGCTTCTGATCAGGAGGATTCTGATGATCAAAGCCCACCTTCACCGAAGCCTGCTCCTGGTCCTGCGAGACTTGGACGTGCGCAGCCTCAACCGTCGCCAAGAAATGCTTGGAAGACTCCAGCCGTGATGACCAGCTGGCAATCTGGGCAGGCGGTAAGGATCAGCAACCTGCCCAATTCACACCTGAATGGTCAGGTTGGTACTGTGGTGGGCCAGGATACTGAGAGTGGCAAGTGGGTGGTTCGACTTGAGAAGGACTCACAAGAGGCCGGAATTGTTGGGTGGCATTCATTCATTGATTTGTAGATAAACTAGTGTGTAACTCTATATTTCTATTTAGTTGCGTGTATATTATATGCATGTAGTATATTATTATACTAACCAACATATTAAGCGGACTGGTGGGGCAGAAGAGTGCTTTGGGGCAGCCATTTGCACTTGCTTTTGGATTTTGTTTCATTCTCGTGGCTCTTTGCGTGCTTGCAGCTCAAACGGCCGCTGCAGGTGGTGCTCAGCGCCAACAATATGGAAGTGGCCCCGCCAGACGCAACCTCCACAACTTCATCAAGTGGGTCAGAGATTCCTTCGCCTGAGATGCCCAATGCTACTTCCCATTCCATGCAGCAGCCAGGGCAGCCCAAACTTGCACCCCAACAGAACCACTTCGAGGAATGGTGTGCTGCGCATTTGCAAGGCTTTGGAAGGCAAAAGCAGCTCACCATTTTGCTGTTGGGGCAGACTGGCAGCGGCAAGTCCTCGTTTTTGAACTTGTTGGGCAACTTTCCTACCGTGATGCAGCATGGGCAGGAAGCAGTTGCTGGCAAAATGAGTGACTTTCGAAACTTGCAGTTTGAGAATGATTTGGAGAACCAAAAAATCAGTCAGACTTCAGCTGCCACGGTTTATCAGGTGGACATGGGGCCACTGAGCCTAAAGATAGTGGACACTCCTGGTTTTGGTGATACCCGGGGCCGAGCCTTTGATGAGAAGCACACAAAGATGATCGTTGACTGTGTGAAAGAATTGGGCCAAGTCAATGCCATTGCTTTTGTGATCTCCGGAAGAGAATCGCGCTTGACTCCCCAGCTGAAGTATGTGCTGATGGAGGTGTGTGCAATCCTTCCCAAAACCGCCAAGAACAACATAGTGGCCATCTTCACAAACACCACCAGCCCTTTGTACTTGAGCTTCGACATTGATGCCTTGAGCAGCATGGTTGAACACCAGGTGACGCCTGAAAGGCATATCTTTATCGAAAATCCTTATGTCCTTTGGGAGAGGTGCAGGCGAAACACAGGAAAGGTCGATGATGCAGCAGTTCAGAGGGACTTGGTCAAGGCTTTCAAAGATGCCGGAGAAAACTTGGCAAAACTATTTGCTGCCATGCTGACCATGCCCGCCATGAACACAACAGAGTTTGAAAGGCTGTACAACTTGAGGCAAGCCATTGAATCAAGCACCATGAAGATTCTTGCTGAGTTAGATTGTGCTCAGGAGGAGCAAAAGAACCTAGAGCACCAGAAGAAGGAGATCGAGCGCGCCAAGACAGAGGAAGACATGAACAAGCAATACAAAAAGCAGTTCCACGGAAAGCGCTGGGTCTTCAAAAATTCAGATGGCCATGGCACTTTCTGCGGAGTAAAGGATTGTCATTCCAATTGTCATGCTCCCTGCAAGATGGAGAAGACCATGGACAACGAAAAATTCAAGAGTTGCGTCGCTTTCCAATATACAAGCAAGAGAGTCACTTTGCGTTCAGCGCAGGACAGGGATTTTCTCCTCAAACGCATGAAAGACACAGCTTGCTGGTTCTTAGTTGATGAAGATGGTGGAGATTCAGCACCTGATGTCGTCCTTTCAAATGAGCGTCCATTTCGGTTTCAGAACCATCAGATCATGGAGTGGGCCTTTGTTTGGATTTGTGAGAGTGCAGCTGCAGGGCAATCTGTATGGGCTGCGAAGAGCGACCTCATGAATCTTCGATTCCCTGCGGAAGTCACCCTTTGCGACCACTCTGACCAGGACACCTGCAAGGAGTGTGGGCATCATCGCAAGTATCACTTTCATGACGACAAAATATGGTGCGAGGAAGAGTACAGCGAAGAAGTTGTGGATGAGGAAACCAAGCAAAAGTACGAGGCTGCAAAAGACCTGAAAGAAAGGAAGGAGAAACTCTTGAAGGGCATCCAGCGAAGGATTGAGAAGTGTGAAAGGGAGCAGAAGAAGCTGGGCACAACGTTAATGACAAATATCCGGCAGTTTGAGCAGCATGGGCTTAGCAGAAACTATGCAATGCTGCTGCAGAACCAAAGGGACCTGTTCCAACAGCACATCGATGCCACCTTGGAGAACGACGACGGTGCAGATGTTTCACAGTTGAAGAAGGCAAAGGAGGAAGTTGAGAAGGCGCTTCGCGTGGTCCAAGAGAATTTGCTTCGCAACAAAGGCGCTGACTCACTGGAATGGGCTTGCAGCATGCTTGGCGTTTCGCGTGAGGCCACCTTGGAGGAAATCAAACAGAAATTCAAGGAGGAGGCGCGTCGTCAGCATCCTGACAAGCAGGGCAATGATGAGAAGATGAAACTCATCAACGAAGCGTATGAGATCTTGAAGAAGCAGAAGGAGTCAAAGTGGTGGGGGCCCTTCTGATGAGACTCTGAGACTCTGCTAGACGTGGGCCCCCACAAGCGTGGCCACAGTACCAATTGAATGCCGTTGCAAGCAGCATGTGTAGACACTGAGCGGTCAATTAATTTTCCATCATAATTTTAAGTCGCCTGACTTGCAGTACAGTAGGTGTGCCCGGGGCACTTGTCACCTATCACCTACGAGCGCTTCAAGTGCAACACAGAAGTTAAAAGTGAAAAATGCAATCTTGCGCGTGATACAAGTTGCTATGCACTGCAATCCATTCAGATTTTTTTTGTTGGCATCAGGCATCAACGTGAGTCAAATTGGCACTGTCTGAGATTTGTCTGGATTCTTGGACCGGTGTGTCAACGCAGGAATAGAGACGCTGCCTGCTGGTCTCCCAGCACCCTGTCATTTCATCCTCAGTCAGGCTGGAAACACGCGAGGGCTAGCTTTCTCTTGCGCGGGTCATTCTGTGGGTTGGAGTCAACATCAGCCGTGCTCACAGCCTGATTTTTTTTTTATATGCTCTTAGTAGCTTCCGGTTTGCCTTGAACATTTGCAGCTGACTCAGCATTCAAAGTTGGTACCTTCTGAAAGTGGCAGAAACCCTTCAAACTAACCAGGCAACCACTGCATTTTCCGCTTTCTCAGCAGTTGATTCAAGGTTGGATGAAGGGTCTTCACGCATTTGTGGTGACTTCCTTCTATTCGCTCAGAATTTGGAAGAGTCATTGACAAAACGGGGTAGGCACCAAAAACATCCAAAAACTATGGGATCCTCATGGATGATCCAGTAGTTCATAGGGGTATCCAGGATAAACCATTTTCACGCGCAAGTCAGCATGCCAGGACTCCAGACCCATCGACGCATGCGACGTTGAAAACGGGGTCCTGTTGTGATGGCATAATGTGTCGTTGTGGATGAACACTTTTCGTAGGAAGGTGAAGGGCGGTATTCAATTTGTTTGAAATCTTGTCCCTTTCGCTGCGAGAAGACAGCGTGATTCCATTCTCTGCAACCTTTCTGATCAGTGGTCATTGAGCACGCGGTCTTTCGCGTGGGCAATTGGAGAACGATTGCGCAGGATGTCACAGGATTGAAAAGGCACCTGGTGCAACCAGGAGAGATTTCTGCCACGCAGATCATCCCTGCGTCAAGGGGATGATTCTCCAAGATTGGATTCCTCCATCCCTCTGGATAGCAGGGTATAGCATGGTTCATTCGCAGCCTTGTGCTCAAATTTACTCCGCCTGGACTTGCAGCTGCTATAGTGTTTTATCCATCTTCCCAACTACCATGGCCAAGAAGAAAGTCATGGTGGACGTGATCAGCGACGTGGTCTGACCTTTTTGCTGGATTGGAAAACGAAATCTGGAGGGTGCCATGCAGCAGACGCTTGGTCGAACGATAGTTATTTGGACTTGTGGGGCGCGGCGCTTCGTTGATGATTTAAACGTTCTCATGCAGTCCATTCAGCCAGATATTCAATTGGCTAGAGTTTGATATATTAATTTCCATGGATACCAGTTCAATTGCAAGTCCACATTTATTGAGTTGTATTGCACCTCCATGAGGGATTAGAATGGATTAGACATGTAGTTCCATGTACTTCACCTTTACAATTACAATACAGTAAATCATTGTAAGTTGCAATTCAGATAAGACATGATATGCCATGATGATGTAAACAACTAAAACTGACTAAAACATACTAAAACTGTATACCGTAGACCAAACATAAATCTGCTCTAACCTGTGCTTTCCCCTTCACCATGGCTCTCAGGTGCGGCCAGAACTTGGACTTCGAGGTCCGGTGGTTGCCGTTTCAGCTGGATCCCAGCGCCTCCGAAAAGCCGTACAGTCGGATGGAGGCGCAACAGGGGGGTTGAGAATGGTTCAGATGGGTATGGGTCAATACCTATAGATACATTTTTAGTGGGATGAACATCCATTTACCAGCTATTTTGGGGTTCACTAGGTACCAGGGTTTTGACCCATCCCCAGATGAGTTGAGGACGAAAGATTCCAATTAGGATTTGACAATATTTGACATGGTCGTTTTCTGTTTGAACTCCATAGCTGGCCCCCGGTTGTGCATTTTGGGTCCTCCAGTGACCTTTTTTTCTTCGTGACATTGGACTTGCAGTGATGCCCAATCTCGTTTTTCTTCTGTTAAAGAGACGTGTGACACAATTCATTATATTCACTTGATGTATCTTGATGTATCATTATCATCTATAAGTATGAGAAGTATGTTCATTTCACTTCATTCCAACCCTAAAGAATCCCAAAGTTGTTTCCCAAATGTTTCCCATCGACATCACGAAGGCATACGCGAAGAAGTTTGGAAAGGGCAAAGAGGAGGTCAAGCAAATGGGCTCCTGGATGAATCTCGCTCTTGCTTAGCTCAATGGCAGTTGGAGCATTGGTTCACTGTCGTCATCAGTGAGCCAGGTCATTTGAAGTGGGAGTGGTGTGGTTGTCTTCTTCCTAGGTGACCCTTTGGGGTTTTGAGCATGTTGCCAAGTCCGAGGAAAGCAAAGTTCGACGCAGCCAAGCTGCCGTACGAATTCTCTGAAGCTGCTTTGGTGTCCCGGCAGCTGATGTGTGATGGTGCAGTCATCGCGATTGGGGTCAAGGTCAAATATTTAATATATGACTCATATCCCATTCATAGGTGTTCATATGTATTCATATGTATTACTGTACTGTATTAGGATTAACAAAACGAGCAGGTGACCGATCATATGCAATCGATTCTGTTTCTTCATGATTTTCGAGGAAAACCCAGAGGACATCATGTTTTTCTGGTTTTACCCACTTCAACAATCTGGAGCATAAAAGAGAAAAGGCTCCGTGGTTTTTACCCACTTGAGAATATCATCAACAATACAGGCAATACATCTATAATTCGACAATATTTGGCATATTATTATTGAGTTGGTACTAGTAATGGTAAATCTACTGTATATTTGGTCCATAGTTTTTGCCCACTTGATCTGAGGCCAGCAACACGTTTGATGCCCATCGGGTGCTGACTGCTGCCTACAAGCATCTCGGTGAAGTGAAGCGAAGCTTGGGAGGGACCGTGGCTATGGCAGAAAGTGAAGGACTCCATAGGATGGTTTGATGATCTGATATAGAAAAATGAATTAAGATACATTGAAAGACAATGATCAAAGATGGTTAGAATACTTTTAATTTCGAGATGTTTTTGATGATGTTTGGTGAAACATGGTGAAACTAGTGGCATGAAGTGACCAATTTTGTGCATTTTGGAGCCACCAAATTTCATGAGGGAACCATGGTACTGTACGGTTTCCAGCCGTCCAGGCATGGTGGCGCAGAGGCACAGGACAGGGCTGCGGAGGCCCTGTTTCATTCCTACTTTGCCAAAGAGATACTTGGATTGGTTGGATGAACAGGGGTTGGTAACTGTCCCATTTTGGGAATATTGGACATCACCTTATAATAGCCATTATAGACCATATACCTAATGGTTGGGTGATGTTCAATGGGGACATTTAATGACCCATGGGATGAAGTATGCGGCTTTGTCTGAACCTGGTACCGCCAAAATTTGATGTTTAACCATAATTTTCCCCATTAAAATGTTTTTTCTTGGGAATATATTATATCCTATTTTCAACCACACCTATGTAGATGCTGCAGGGCCAGGGGTTGATAACTTGGTTGAGATTCGAGCGTCCACAAAACTGGGAAGTCTCAGCATGTCTCATCTTAACCTCGGGGTATGTTGCCGGTCTTGTAACTCGTAGGCCAATCAAGTGAAGGTGGTCAAGTTGAAGGAGTAGCACACCTAAAGCCCAGCTTGGAATTCGGTGCCATGTGGTGCCAGAACTGAAGGACGGCTATTTTGCAGCTAAAATTGATGTATGAAAGCAGATTGGGTCCTGGGTCCATCTTTTTGGTGGGAATCCAGTGTCTTCCTCAGCTAACAACGGCAAACAAGAATCCTGCCTCAGCATGGGGCTGTATAGTTAAGAATTATTAAGAATTGGCATCAAGGCGGTTTTCAAGTTTTACACACTTGACACCAATTCCATTTTTGAATAATTACGATCATCATCCATCATGGATTTGATTACAGTTCGGATTCTTTTTGATTATCTGAATATTATCATAATTCTGACACTAACATAATCAGATAGAACATACATCTCGAACTCATTGTATTTTATCTAATCTGCAAGCCAGGTTGGTTTAGGAGTCACCTCGTCTCACCCCAGCGCTGCCAAGGAAGGCGCCCAACGACCCCGAAGCGTTGAAGGAGGCGGCAAAGGCGGCAGGATTGGATGGCGATGCAGTGCAGCTGAGTTGCAGGGTTGATGGAGGGTGGGAGGGTTAATGGTGAATCTGTTGGGAGTTATACTACTCAAGTCAAGTTATTGGTGATTATGAAAAGGAGTTGCACCAGCGAACTTGTTGATCTTGTTGGTGATTGTGATAAGCCATAGTAGGGAAACCGTTTGCGGCCGACTGGTATGACGAGATGGGATAGGGGTATTTCCAATGGCTCACGGCTCACATTTCCCAACCACCAAAATAGTGGGAAGATGGCATGAACATGATGAAACCCTTCAAAGTTTTTTGGGATGCCTTGAGACCATGGGAGGTTGTTGTGTTGTGTCCCGGTGAAAAGCACTGGGTATGCAATCGCCAATTATTGGGGGGATAGAACATGATACAGACCCAGCTTGGAAGACGGGAGGGGATTTAGATGGGAATGGCGGTCCTTTTTCTCACTGGGGCACCCTCTGATATTCAAACATTGCATGGGAAATCATAGATGATTCACTCAATTTACTCCTTTCAACTTGGGGGCATCCACGTGCCAGTTCGAAAAAATGCAGGGTATTCCAAAACTTGAGGCTTGATAAAAGCTTCGCGGCATCTGAAACCCAAGAAGAGATGAAGGTGGGCCAGAAACTGCGAGCCGCTAGGCCTGCACGATTTCGACGCTGCTTGAGGCATTCGTGGAAAAACTGGGACCTGGGTAGATGAATTGCTGAGTGATGCCAGGCCAATCTCAATAGCTTCCATGCTTTAGTTCGTGGGCAGGGTAGGTATGTAGGTATCCTTGAGCTGATGACTGTGACCAGGTCTTCTTGGAATGCAAATCCATAAAGATTGGAACATCCGAAAAATGTGCGCACGAAATAGGGAGTTTCATGACCATTTCTCATACACATCTTGGTGTCCTTGGTGCAGCTCCATTGTCTCAATCCAAAAAAGGTGGCCGGTGGCAGCTCCGGGGTCTCCAATATCCAGACACTCAGAGAGATGAATGATTCGGTTTGTCCCGAAACTTGAGCACCAAAAAAAAATCATCCCATCCATTTCTGTTTTGATGCCTCAAACCCCACTTTTTTTGCGCATTCCTTTGGGTCAACACCCAAGAACCCAGCCAAAGATGGGGGTCATGTGAACTACTGGTGCAAATCAGGTTCGAGGTGTGCCCCACTTTGTCATCAGGACGGAGAATTCCAGGACAGCCAGTTGGGAAAAAACAACTGGAATGCCGGAGCCTGGATGTAAATCACCCTTCAACTGGTTAGTGGATTGAGGTCTTGATGATTCTAAGTAGATCTAATACTAAGTAGACTTTGATTCATTGATCCTGCTAGTAGATAATATTGAGGATTATTTAGGTATTTTTCTCGTCATTCAAAAAGATCACAAAGCTCCTTGGTCTCTTGGGTGCATCATTTTGCATCATTTTGCATCCCCAAGAAACAATGAAAAAGTGCCATCTGGAAGCCATCACCCCATGGCCATGGCCATGGCCATTGTAGCATCCTCAGGACGGAACAGATCTCGGGCGCCCAGCCGCCGGAAAGCTTCGTGGAGGCCTTTGAAGCCCTGATGCGATGAACGGCGCGGCGCGAACGGCGGGTCGGGTCGCTGGCGGTTTGGCCGCGGCCACGGAGGGGCTGAGAATGGCTGAGATGGGGATGTTTTTTGAGGATCAAAGCTGGAAGCACTGACAATATCATTGGCATATCACTGGTGGGTGGGATAGTTTCCTATGAGTGAACTGGATTTAGACTTCAGCGTTGCCCTTCAAATCCGTTTCCTGGAGTGCTGTAAGTTGGAAGATGAGCAGTGCTCAAAGATACAGAAGCCTTCAGAATCACAGCCTCTCCGAGAGGCAATGTAGATGTAGGATGATGTAGGAATGTCATGCGGCTCAGTCTGCGGATTTTCGATCATGCTGGGTCCCAACTGTCGACGCGGTTGACGCATTGCGAATGATTTGCCAGATCGAGACCGCATTCGATCTCAATGAGAGGAATGTGAAGCCATGTTGCCAGGAAATTGTGGATGGGTTTGAGATGGTTTCATGTTTCTCAAACGAACGCCACATCATAGAACTTTGTCTTGGCCCATATCTGCCGGATGTTGGGTACAAAACAACCCAAATTATAGCTCATCCACAACACCAAACTTGTCGCGATGGTGCGAAAAGAACAGTCTGCTGTCATGTGGTTTGGCTACACTGCAGAGAACCATTAGATGCTGACTTCGCAGCTTCTGACACACTTTGTCATTGTTTAGGCATGTTTGGGCAATTCTAGCAGATTTTAGTAGCCGATTATCTTAGGGGGATTGATTTGAGATGGCGATTCAAGGGTTCATTGAAGTCCCCGGCTTGAAAAAGTGCTTGGACCGAAATGGTCCCATTCTCAGGGTGATGTCATGGTAGAATTTTGGACCCTTGGACTGCAGTTGAATGCTGCGAGACACATTGGCCCAAAGTTTAGCAAAACATTGGAAACAAGTCTGCTCAACATCACACAACATGTCCTGGCCTCAGCCTGGCAGCCATGCGAACCAACTCATAACATCAAGACCAGAAGGACAGAACCAAAACAAGGCCATCGAAAGATCATCGAAAGCGGCAACGCATCAACAACAATCCAAAACAGCTCAATATCCCATTACCCTCTGGTAAACAAACATAGCTATTGAACATGGCCATTTATAGTTGATTTACCCGTAAAAAGATGGTGATTTTCCATAGTTATGTTATAGTTTACCATAGGGTATATCCCCATGAATATTTACGATTCAACCATATTCAACCACCAAAAAATCCGCCCATTCCGCGGCGTCAGTGTATAGTGTTATGGCCCCTTCATGGCTCGAAGAGATTGCAGGGGACTGGAATGACACCAACGGAAATCACTACGAGGTGTGTGGGGCGATGTTGGTTGCCTCCTAAAATCTGGCGATGAGTTAGACATACTGGGTTTGTCATTAAGATATATCGGGTAACTCCCAACAATCGATGCTACATATTGGTACATAGTATCCCATAGTATCCCCCATTTGGAGACATAGCCCATTTGAGATTGAGTTGGCCATTGGAAATGGCCCCCCAAGAATTTTCCATGGCATTTTTTTCACAGGGAACATGTGCTTTTAAATAAAGTGATGGATATCGGATTCCCTCTTTTCAATTCTTTTCATATAAACCCAACCACAATGTCATCCAAGCAGATGATTCAAAGACAAGGGATAGGAAGCTTAAGGGATGTGACTCACATGACACAAAACAAACTCTGGTTAAGGAAACGGGAATGATTGACTTTTTGGAAGATGGAATTCTGAATGGGACATCTCTTCTAGGCCGTTTTAGGCCTCAAGGAATAGAAACTCTTCTGCTTGATCTTGCCGTGGTTTGGGGACATGTTTGATTGGCCAGTCCATGCCAGTCCAATATTGAAGGGATCAAATTTTGACTTATAGGATTTTAATGATATTTGAATACTTTTGAATATATGTAATCCATTTTGATGCCTTGGCATGTTCGATCATTTTGGTGTCCAGATTCGAGGTGTGGATGGATGAATCCGGATCTTCCTGCAGTGTGCGAACGACCAGAAAGAATGGGCATACCAAGACCACCAGAGGCATGCTGAAATACGACAGCGCCTTGGCAAAATATGTTCAGATGCGTCTCTTCCTGATGGATTTGATGGCACCTGCTCGGGAGCTACGGGATTGATGGGTTACGGCTCCAAACCAAGTAATGACTCATGGGGAAAATGATCCCGGGAAAATGAGAAGATGAATCTTGAAAACAGGGATACCATTGCTTCACCATGGTAGATCCTCATCCCATTCACGAATTCCCAGGCCGAACAGATACGTTGATGTGGGGCCGTAGCTATTTCCTGGAGATGGAAGAGAACAACAACCGAAAGATCTATTGGACGCCCTTGAAGGCTGTGACGCCATACACCTGGTACAGGCACGCACTGGGAGCACTGGGAGCATTGGGGGAGGGGACCAGTGATATGATCGAACTGGGTGAGACGGTGAGACCAAACTGTCCCAGAATGCGGTTTTCACCTCGCCAGGTTTCACTGGTTATCCCTGAGCCTTTGCTTTGGCATGCTTTGGGTATAACACTTCTGTATATTTCGTAATTTGGGTGAAACCTATATTATACCTTTTCCCAAGATTTTAATTGGTTAGTTGGATTCCAGGTTTTTGTGGTTAGTTGGATTCCCCGTTTTTGTTGGTGAAGATTTTCTCCCCGACCGGTCAGGTGCGACGATGAGGCAGATGAGGATGAGGAAGAGGAGGACGAAGAGGATGAGGAGGATGAGGACGAAGAGAATTGGGATGTGGCCGAAAGTAACGTGCCAATCCTGCAGCAAGTGCCTTGACCAAAGCAAAATGGCTGATTTCTTGGAAACAGGATTTCTTGTCCAGTTGCAAGGGTTCTTTCTCAGACTTACTGTAGCATGTTGGATTCAGAACTATACAACTACACAACCCTTATTTGGAGATTGAACAGCTGAGTATAGTCAATTCATGTTCTTTTCACAACAATCCTTTACTGTACACATGTTGCTTGTTTCCCTGAGGTCGTTGGAAGTTGGAGAGATGCTGATGGCACGACCTACAAGATTACCTTAGATGCGTCGGGGTCGTCTTGCAGTGCCATGATCCAAGAGCCGGATGGTGCTCTCTACGAAGCCAAGGAGGACATCATCTGCGAGGACCAAGGCGTGTTGCCAAGTTGTAACAGCAGGTTGCCGAGAGTGTTGCGATAGCAATCATGGCACCAAAAGAATCCAATGATAATTAATGACGTAGCAGTAATCACAATAATACTAATGATACTAATAATAACAATAATAACAATACTGATACTAATAATATCTAATAATGATAATAACAACAGCAGTTACAAAGATGACAACAATGACAACAACGACACTAATAACACTAGCAATAACAACAATAATGTCAACAACGACAACAATAAAAATAGCAGTAGCCACATATCACAACAATGCCATAGTCATCTGATGCCAGGCTTGTGGTGGAATAGCTACTACTTGGATCACGTCAAGAGAACCTTGGTGGCAGGGCAGCCATCGTTAATGTCCCACACCTCAAAATGGCCATTAGAACATGGGGAGCATGATGGTTAACCATGGTACTGGGATGTTTGGGTATACTAATATGGGTATGGGTCAATACCTATAGATACATTTTTAGTGGGATGAACATCCATTTACCAGCTATTTTGGGGTTCACCAGGGGTACAAGGGTTTTGACACACTGCCATATACTGAATACTATTCACATGGCCAGTGAAATTTATCAAACATGGGGAAACTGGTGACATCAAGAGCATTCGAGCTTGAAGTTTTCCAGTGAACATTTCTGACAAGATTCAGGTGGTGGCAGCAGGATTCGCTGGAAATGCACCGAATCTGGAAAGGGCTTTTGGTGGAACAGCATTCCAGAGAAACCAGCGAAGAGCGCTCCCGAGAAACCGCTTGCGAAGAGCGTTCCGGAGAAACCTGCAGTGACTTGGTTCTGCCAATGGTGAGAATGGGCTTCCCCTTGATGTAACTAACCAAACTTTGAAGGCTGATTCTCACTTCTGAGTTAGTGGACAGTAGTATTAGTGGACGTGGACCTAAGCGGTTGACAAAAACCACCGTTGATTGATTGCTAGGCCCGTAATACCTATACCATCCTATACCTATCTCTGCCTGGTTTCATGGGGAGTGTGACAAATTTTGACTTTCAGCAGCTGCAACACCCTCTTTCATTTCGGCACGTGAACACGTGGTTTCAACCACTGTTCATTGAACCAGAATGTTTGAACATGTTTGAACCAGGTGTTCCAAGCGATTATTTCCTACTATCTACTGGTAAGCAAAGCGGGACAAGACCTCCGTTTGACCCTTTTACATGATTGTACATGATTTTACACTACACATCACTACACGATATACACGATATACACGATTTTACGCAATTTTACATCATTTTACATGATTCTACCTAATTTTACAGTATTTTACATTGTTTTAAATGATGTTACATCACTTCACATCACTATTAACCACTATCAACCACTATGTACCACTATGAACCACTACAGGCATCTGACAAAGTCGTACCTGTTTTAGGAAAAAAACGTTGTGCCTTGGGGAAGTGTGTTTCGCAAAAGTCGTGCCTTTAGCAAGAACGCATAGGAACTCTGGAGTTTGGATATGTAACCCGTTTTCTTATGAGATCACGTATCTGATCACTATTAGCATGCAGAATTCCAGGTTGTGGGTATGTTGATTAGTTATAGGTAAGATGGCGTTGAGCTGGTGATTTGATGATTTTGGATGTTCATCCCAGTTATCCTGTTTTTCCCCGAATGTGTAGCGAAGGGTTCCCGTTTATAGTCTGGGGGTCTGGGGGCTGGACCCTTGTTCGCCTCGAGTGGCTCGTCGCGTCGTCGTCGGGTCGGCGTCGCGTCGTCGTCGCGTCGTTAATTCCGTGTCTATGGGGGAAGCTGCAAAACCTCTCCTTTTCGAAGGTTTCCAAGCAGGTTGTCATGTCAGTTTGCAGCACAAAGTAGTACTGGGAAGTAGTTTGTGCAAGCTTTGTAGTACAAAGTAGTACTGGGAAGGACTTTTTGCAAGCTTTGTAGTACAAAGTAGTGCTGCGAAGTAGTTTTTGCAAGCTTTGTAGTACAAAGTAGTACTGGGAACGGCTTTGTGCAAGCTTTGTAGTACAAAGTAGTACTGGGAAGTCCTTTGTGCAAGCTTTGTAGTACAAAGTAGTACTGGAACGTGCTTTGTGCAAGCTTTGTAGTACAAAGTAGTGCTGGGAAGTGCTTTGTGCAAGCTTTGTAGTACAAAGTAGTGCTGGGAAGTCCTTTGTGCAAGCTTTGTAGTACAAAGTAGTACTGGGAAGTGCTTTGTGCAAGCTTTGTAGTACAAAGTAGTACTGGGAAGTAGTTTGTGCAAGCTTTGTATTACAAAGTAGTACTGTGAAGTGACCCAGAGAATAGAAAAATAATGATGCAGAATCCCAGCGTTGACATGCAGGTTGCACACGAGAATTACATTATAAGAGAGTAGAAAACCAATATTTTCATCAATCGCGTTCCATTGTGTTTCATTGGTTTTTCATGTCTAAACTGCATGGTTACACTTTTATTGAGGACAGCCTTCCATGCAGAAAAGCATTTAGGCATGACTTAGGCATGACTTCTTGGATACAACGTTTACAATGGTAAATGCCATTCAAAAACATGCTAGGCATGACTTAGGCGTGACATTGTCGTTTCCCTGTATTATCCACTATCAACCAGCTGACGCCCATTTAGAGCTGTACGGGCACCCCTCATCTGACTAATGAGGTTCTGAGCACAAGCGTCCTGAAGTCCCTGCTTGGCGAATGGAGAGATGAGGAGAGCAGCTGACGGACATGGGGACTTAACTGATGGTTAATAGTGGTTAATTAATAGTGGTTGAGAGTGGTTTATTATTATTTTTATATTAATTTATAATGCTGTGTATGGTTGTAGATCTGACATAAATCAAGGCATATCAAGGCTACTGCTTCCATGTGTTTCTATGAATGGCATACATACAGGTTTCGCTTTGTCTTTGTCATGTCACTTTTTCGCCTGTTCCCACCAGTGTGCTGGCTATACCACATGGCCAATTCCTACTGCATGCTTGCGGTGTTTCTTCCCAGCCAATGATTGTTATCCAATTTTAACACAACAATGCGCATCCCCATGCCTATTGTTGCTGAACTCCCCAAAATCATCCATCCCCAAGAACTCTAAGTTGATTCTTCCTCATCACCCCATCTTTTTCCCCACTTTCTCCAGGTTTCCCAGTTTTTTGCCACCGGTGCCCCCAGGAGGACCGGGAATACCTGGTCTCCCTGGACGCCTCCGGCGACTCCTGCACCGTGGAGATCCGGCGGCCCAATGGCAGCAGCTTCCGAGCCGAAGGCCGTCGTCACTGGGGGAGGTGGATTTTTTTTGGGGATGACGGATTTTTTTGACTTATTTTTCTTTTTGGGGTGTGTGTTTTTTTTTTGGGTGGATTTGAAGACAATTTCGATGGAACGATAATGATTCTGGATTCTGGGGGTAGTTTTTGGTGATTTTTGATGTGGAAAAGGATGCACATTGAGTACCAGCAGCACACGCTGGCCTGGATTGATTGGCGAAATTCTTTAAAAACAACGAACTTGGGGAATACAATTGATAAAATAACCAATAGTCAGAACAAATTTGTGGATACTCACTAGCACTGAACATGCAATGAAGTTGCACGATACGGCTGTGCGCCCATATTCGAGACTGGTCATTTTTGGCACCATGTTTTGTGTGTTTGTGTTGCTGAATGCGACCATTTGGAGCCTTTGAGGACCAACTCTGCATATAACATCATATAACATCATACTACCACTATGACGACATAGCCTTTCTTGATAGCAGATATAGCAGCTATGAAGGTGGAACATCGGGGCCATTGTTTGGATGTTTTTCTGGTAGAGAAGGGGCTTCCCACCATCCACCTTTAAGCCAAGGGGTCAAGCCGAGCCGCAGGGGTCTTGAAGTACAGCAAGGCCAAAGAGCGCGTAATGTGGGGCCGATCGTATTACTTGGAGGTGCGCAGCGCTGGTGATATAGCTTCTCGGCCAGGTGAGGATGGTGACCTAAAACTTTAAAACGGGCTACCTCCAACATCGCGGTGATGAATTGGTATTAGTGAAGACCAATTTGCACCTACAGTATACTGTCCGGAGCTTTTCTAGTTATAAATGATAAACCAATTCTACCCCACAGCTCCCAGATATTTCTCGAGGCGAAAGTCTGCCCAGGTTTGGACTCATACCGGCAGAGGCAAGCCTTTCCGATGGCTGGCCCGGGTGTGGGCCCCAGCCGAACTCGTTGGGTCTGTAGCAACTGAGTCCAGGGCGTTCACCGGAGTCCACCATGGAGTGCTGCATCTTTTGGGCTGCTGATCGTGTGTACCAACCAGCTTACTTTTTTGGGGCTGTTGAATGTTTCAATATGTTTCAATGTACTAGCTGTTTCAGTGTGGATCATTATATATCATTATACATCATTATACATCATTATATATCATTATGTAATTAAATTATATATAATTAAATATCATTATATAATATTATTTTAATATTATATATCTATCATTACTATGCCACTATTGTGGTTATTGTGGTTATCGTATGTTCACCATGATGCTCTTCATCACCGCGGCAACGCTGGTTGGATCCCTTGGACCAAGAGGCGCCGGAGTCGACCGAGCGTCGCAAGACGTTTCGAACGGATGAGGAGATCAGTGCCCAGAAGACGCTGAAGGACCACCGGGGGTGGGTTGTGGTGAAGACCCAACTGATTTACCTATTAAGAATGGTGATTTTCCCAGTAAAAATGGTGATTTTCCCAGTAAAAATGGTGATTTGCCATTGAACATGGCCATTGATGGTTGATTTACCTGGTAAAAATGGTGATTGACCAAGCCATAGAAATAGTTTATTATCAACCCATAAAATGGTACTAACATAGCTATTGAAAATGGCCATTGATGATTGATTTACCCAGTAATAGCATGGTGATTTTCCATAGTCATGTTATTTCACCAGAGGGTAAGTATCAGTGATATATCACTAATGGCTTTCTAAGCCACGAACTGGGAGATTTTATGGGGTTAAACTGGTGAAAACAACAAGCAATGGGATATCATTGGTAAATCATGGGATTTTGAGATATCAATGATTACCAGTGGTTTATAGTGGTGAGTAACGCTGATGAATGGTGATTCGTGGAATTAGCCTCTGGGAATCAGACGTGGCTGGCTGGAAAATCCTATATAAATGGAGGTTTCATTGGAAACATCAACTAGACTCGGGGATCTCCAATTGCCATGTTGATTACCGGAGGGTGGATTCAAAGACGAGATCATGGTACTGAGATATGAACCAACCAATTTATGGGGATACGTAATATATAAATGTGAATTCAGCCAGCAGCCAATCAGGTCCATCTGTTCTTATCAATGTGACAACTGCTCAGCTCGTGTGACCAAGGGAACATTTCCATGCTCGAGGGAAAAGGTTTGCGCCCGTGCGTGCCCTTGGGAGGGCTTCCGCAACCAAATTGGTAGCGGAGCCCGGTGAAACCGGGCTCCCGCAGTAGGTGCGGTCACCCGCGGTGATTCCACGGTGGAATCCAGACAGCAGCCATGGCGGCTTCATCTCTTGAAACTGGTGGTTCAAATCGCTATTTTTCTGGAGATACCGAAGATGCTCAGGAGTATCGCAGATGGAAGAATTGGGTCAAGAACAAGATTCTGACTATGGACAAGCTTCCTACGGGAGCTGCTGGACCATATGTATACACACTGCTCACTGGTAAGGCCTTGGAATGTGTAGAACATCTTTCTCCCGTAGAATATCAAAAGGAAGGTGGTGATCAGGTGTTATTTCAATTGCTCGACACACGTTTCCCTGACAAAGACAAGACAGATGAGTTAGGTGAAATGATGAATGAGATTTTTCAGCTTCGCAACAATTCTGGTGAAACACTGAAAGGATGGATCGGTCGGTCATCTGAACTGTTTGATAGACTGAAACGCAAAACCGGTATTTCTTTTCCAGAAGAATGTCGCGGCTGGTTGATTCTCAATCGGTGTGGTTTGACCGAGCAAGAGAAGGCTGTGGTCCTGGCTAGGTGCAATGGGAACCTCAAACGAGAGGAAATTGGAAAGGCTTTGAGATCATGTTTTCCGGATATGACTTTGTCTAGGAGGTCGAATGCAGTTCATGCTGTTGAAGATCTTGACACTGGGTTGGAAACAGATCCGGAGATTGAGTTTCATGACATAGAGCTTTTCTTAGCAGAACATGGGCAATCAGTGCCTGAGTCTTTGGACCCTGAAGAGTTCCCAGAGTCAGAAGTTGCCGAAGTTCTTGCTATTTCCTGGAAAGAGCGTAGAGCTGAGATCAATAGACTTCAGAAGGCACGTAAGTTTCAGCAGGTGAAGGAGATGAAAAGACAATTCAGAGTTGAAATCGAGGAGATTAAAAAGAAATCTCGATGCAACCGATGTCAGAAGCTGGGCCATTGGGCTCGTGAATGTCCCTCAAAAGGGAAAGGCTCTGGAAAGGGCTCAACCAAATCTTCTACACCGTCAACTGGTGCCGCTCTGGTAGAGGCTCGTGAATCTCAGTGTGATGATGATGATGTACATTTAGTAGCAATGGTGTCACCGACCTTGACACTATTGGATCGTTTGCGCAATCGTGCAACTGTTTCAGCGGATACTTTGGCAGAACCACCGAAGACTGAAGCCCTGCCATCAGAGACACTCCTTGTCTCGTCACCTGGTTTTGGAGTTTTGGACTCCGGATGCGGACGTTCGATCATAGGTATCAAAACGTTTGAGCAGTTTTCAATGATGTGGCAGAAGCAGCAAGTTCCTGTTCCGATTCCGTTTTCTGAGACCAACCATTTTCGATATGGCAATGGAGAACAAGAAGTCTCCACTCAGAGCGTTCGGCTGCCAGTGTACATAGCAGGTCGTAAAGGCACCATCAAAGCTGCACTGGTTCAAGGAACAGCACCTCTGTTGATTTCTCGTCCAGCCTTGCGGACGATCCAAGCCAAGATTGATTTTGAGCATGATCGGATGACTGCGTTTGCTGACCAGAAATCTATTTCTTTGCAGACAAATGAGGCTGGCCAGTATATTCTCAATGTGATGAAAACCCAGTCCGATGTGCAACAGTCCGAGATTGAAGTCATGACCGCTGAGACCACTTTTCGAGTCTCAGATCCCAATGTTGAGATCCAGGAGCCATGTGATGTGGAAGAGCCGGATTGTCCTGCCTCCGATTCCGTTGCCGATGACTTTCATGTGATCATGAAGACTCAGGAGGACTGGGGTTCCAAAGTAGTGCCAACGTTTCAGAAGAAGGATAAGCTTTGGAAGTATCTGTGTCGCAGAATTGTTCGGAATCGCAAGAATCGTAAAATACTGTTTGATGAATCAGTAACTCCTTATACATGTGCCAGGAAAAATCATGTCTTGCCCAGTGATGTTGAAGCGACTGTGACGGAATTTCATTTTCGAGTGCCACAGCATTTGTCAGGCGATCTGACCAGTGATGAACCGACATTCCTTAGTGAACATCAGTGCCGACAAGTGAAAGCCCAGATTCGAGCGTGCGATGCTGTCCAATCGGACCCAGTAGCCAGGCCACTCGTGGTAGAAGTGTTTTCACCCCCACGTTTTGCTCCCGTGGCCAAGTCTCGAGGTTTCTCCGCCAAATCCATTGACTTGACGTTAGGTGTAGATCTCTCCACAGCTGAAAACCGTAAGAAGTTAAAACAAGAACTGAAGGAATCTCCACCTGACCTTCTTGTGTTGTGCCCCCCTTGCACTCACGAAGGTGGTTGGTTTCACTTGAATGCAACAAACATGGATGCCATGGAGTGCCTCCGACTACGAGCTCGTAGTCGAATGTTCGTGCGTTTTTGTTGTGAGCTGTATCGGCAACAAGTGGCTTTAGGAGGTCGTGCAATGTTTGAACATCCCAAACCGTCTCAGATTTGGAAGTACCCTGAAGTCGCTAGCTTGTGCCGAAAGCATCATGTGGTGTCCCTGCATATGTGTGCATATGGAATGAAATTGCCATCCAGTGAGAATTTTATTCAGAAAGCCACTCGTCTTTTGGTGTCACATGAAGACATGCAGAGTCTTGGCCGTACATGTCCAGGTGCATCCGACCCTGCTCACAAGTGTCATGATGTTGTCGCAGGTCATGATAAGGAAGTAGGTCGTGTTAGTACCTTCGCTGGTAAATATCCCTTGCAATTTGTTCAAGCAGTGTTGAACACAGTGCCTCGTTTTCAAGAAGCTCAAGAAGTGTTAGCTGTGACCTGTGACTCTGTTCCTGAAAGTTGCTGGAATGAAATTCATGCCGTGTCGACCAAGCCAGAGTCTTCAGTCGAAGAACTGAAACAAGCCTTGACAAAATTGCACCGAAATTTGGGTCATCCTCCAAATGCTGATTTGGTCCGAGTTCTTCGATTTGGTCAGGCATCGTCCACGGCGCTTCAGCTTGCCAAAGATTTTGCATGCCCTTTTTGTGAAAGCCGAGTCAAGCCGAAAGCACCCATGCCTGCTAAGGTGGATCGAGTGGTAGGTTTCAATAAGCAAATTGGACTTGATGTGAATGAAATATTTGCCTGGATGGAAGCCAAATCAACGAGTCAAAGCCTTGAATGTGGTTTGTCATGGAAGCAGTTTTCAGCGCATGATTCCTTTCTTTGAAACTGAGACCTCTCAGCTGCTTCGTCGGCTTCTCGACGATCATTGGATCAGTTGGGCCGGTGTTCCAGAAGAGATCATACTTGATCCTGCTCAGACCAATATGGCTGAACCTGTTACTGGGAAAGCAGAAGACCAGGGGTGCACAGTCCGACAAATTGCAGCAGGAGCTCATTGGCAGCTTGGTAAGACCGAAAATCATGGTGGTTGGTTTGAAAGAATTCTCAAGAAAGTCATTGATCAACATCATCCCTCATCGAAAGAAGCTTGGTTGGAGTGTGTTGTTCAAGCACATGTTAAGAATACCATGATTCAGGTACATGGCCATACTCCTCATCAGTACGTTTTTGGACAAAACCCAAGAGTTCCAACTGATCTTTCGGATGAACCCCAGAGTGTCGTCCCAGCAACAGTGTCCCTGACAGACCAAGCCATTGCGAAAGCTCAAGAGATCCGAACCACAGCTCGGAAAGCAGTACTGGAGTTGCAAGACGATGTAGCTCTTCGCAAAGCGCTCAATGCCAGACCACGTGTTGTCCATGATTACAAACCTGGAGATTTGGTAGCCTATTGGAGAAATCAGAAGTGGGTTCAAGGTGTCCTTAACAATGATGGACGTTGGTATGGGTCTGCAATTGTGTTGGGGTATGTAGGCCGAAATCTGGTTTTAGCTCATCGCAAACAGATTCTTAGATGTGCACCTGAGCAGGTTCGTTATGCAACTTCCGAAGAGCGTGCCTTGTTGCATTCTCCTCAAGCTGATTTGCTTGGTGTCAAGGATCTGATTGAAGGTGGTGCGTTCAAGAGCCAGCAATACATTGACCTGTTGCCTCAAGCCTATCCACCAGTTGCTGAACAATCCCAACCCTCAGTAGCTAGAGTTCCGGAATCTCAGCCTGAATCCACGCAAGTTGTTTCTTCCGAAGTAGTGCCTGCTCCGGTAACCATGGAAGCTAGTCAGCCTGTAGCTGAAGATGTTGTTCCTCCGAATAACGAAGCATGTAACGATTCTGCCCAGGGTGTTGCAAGTGATGTGCCTTCTTCGGTGTCTCAACCAATGGAAGTGAATGCATCTCCTCCTCCTTTGACATCCTCAAGTCCGGCAGTCTCAGAGTCCGCACCCGTGCCAAGTAATCCAGATCCACCTGACGGATCAACTTATGGTCCGATTAGGAGACGTGTCTCTGGGAAAAATGGTCCCGACAGCCTGTGGAGACCTGCAGCTCTTCAACAAGATGATTTTGTTGAAATCATGCGTGAAGTGGTTCCTGAATTGATTCAAAATATGACAGATTCTGCAGATTCTCAGTCGTCAGGCTCCGGTATCAAAAGACCGTTGGATTCAGAGGCAACCGGTGGTGCAGGTGAACCACCCATGACCAAAAATCGAGTCGATGCTGTCACTGAAGTATTCTCTGTTCAGTCCTTGAATACACAACAGGTGTCTATGGAAGTGTTCATTGCGGACTATATCAAAAAGAAAATGGCAAAGGAACTACCTCACAGCAATAATGAACCGGCAATTCAGAAATTGGTCGATGAAGGAAAACTGAAAGAATGGCAAACGTTGTGTAACAAGCAGCATGTGTTGAAAATTCACTATGGCAAGAAAGCACAGGAAATCAAGGACAAGTTTGCACACAGGTTCATTGGCAGCAGATTCGTGTTGGTTCGAAAAGCTCTGGTAGAGGGTGGCCAGATAGATCCCAAGGATCCATCCACTTTTTCACTCAAAGGCCGATGGTGTTTGCAAGGACACTTGGATCCAGACTTAGATGTGAAAGCTCAAGAAGGCCGACTTCAATCACCAACTTTAAGTCAAATGGCTAGAATGGCAATCATGCAGATTTTGTCTTCTATGAACTGGACTTTGCAACTAGGTGATGTGACAGGTGCCTTCTTAGAAGCAGATCCTTTGGAACAGCGTTTCAGGCCGTTGTATGCCCACCAACCACCAGGTGGAATTCCAGGTGTTCCAGCAGGAGCAGTTATTGAAATTCAGGGAAACATTTATGGGCAAAACGATGCCCCAGCTTCTTGGCATCGCACTCTGGATAAAGAACTTCGAAGCTTGGGATGGAAACCCAGTTGTTTTGATTCTTGCTTATATCAACTGCGTGACACCTCGAACAATCTGTGTGGTATCCTTGGCGTTCATGTTGACGATTTGGCTCTGGGAGGTTCTGGTGAATTGTTTCAGAAGTCCATTGATCAACTTAGACAACGGTTTCCTTTTCGAAAATGGCGAGTTTGTTCTGGTGAATTTTGTGGTGCAATGTATTCACAAGAACAAGATGGTACCATTCACATGAACATGAAGACATCTGCCGAAAAGATTCGACCAGCCAACATCACAAAGAACATGAACTCAGAAGCCTTGTTGGAGCCTCATCAAGTGAAAGTTCTCAGAGCTATCAACGGAAGCCTAAACTGGTTAGCGTCCCAATCTCGACCTGATTTGTCAGTCCAGACAAGCCTGAGCCAGCAATGTTTTCCCTGTCCTAAAGTCAAGCACCTAAGACAGGCCAATAACATTGTTCGCCGAGCCCGTCAATTCAGCGATTTGAATATTACTTTCAAACCTATTCCAGTGCAGAACTTGACAGTGGTGTGCCATTCTGATGCAGCTTTTGCAAATGTTGGTGACCATACTCGAGCTGGTTTTGTCATTGCTTTCACTGACAAGGCGTTGAATGACTCTGTTATGTCTCATTGGAATCCAGTGGTTTGGAGAAGTTTCAAGTTGTCGCGTGCCGTGAGTTCGACGTTGGCCGCCGAAGCTCAATCTATGGCAGTTGCTACTGGTACGGTGGAATGGCTTTCTCTCATCGTAAGTGAACTGTTAGAGGGTCCCTTTGATCTTAGGTCCTGTAGGAATGTGATGCAAAAACGGCCTCCCATTGTTATCACTGACTGCAAATCCCTTTATGATCATTTGAATAGTCCTTCCAGCCCTACTGCAGTAGAAGATAGACGTACCAGCATAGATATCACCATAATCCGTGAGAGTCTAAAAGCCTGTGCCATGACCGTGCGTTGGGTTCCAACGAACCGTATGTTAGCTGATGGGCTGACCAAAGACGCTGGAGATCCGATTGATCTACTTAGATCTTGCATTCGCACCTCCAGCTACCAGGTGTCGCCTGAATCTGATGTACTTGAGATGCAAGCTGAAGAAAAACGAAGACGCTTGTCTCGCCAACCGACCCAACATGCAACTCCGCTACCAGAAAATGACCTTTCCTAAGTCAGCAGTTTTGTTTGTACAGTTTGGCGGGCATATTCTTGTGTGAATATAAATATAGTGTAAAGTTTTCATATAAACCTCTTTGCAGCCTGGGTATGTGAGTGGTCGCTCTCAAGCCTAGAAGCAGTTGTGACGGTTTTTCCACCAATCTCTTTGCGTTGTAGAGGACAACATGTCCCAAGCCGTTGATCTCGCCTTTGTCATGAGTGTTCTTCGTGCCGCCAATCAGTCTGGTGTGTTGAATATGGCTCTGCAGAGTCTTTCACAGGAACGTGCTGGAGGATCAGCTGAGTCAGATCATTCTTGGGACGTTGTGACCAATGGAGTGATGACTGATGGCAGCAAGCGCCGCTTGCCTTCGCCAACTCCTTCTGATGACACAGCGTTGGAGCCCAAGGAGATTCAGTCGTTGCCCCATGATCTCTGGACTCGTTTGGAGAGCCGTGCTATGGGCAATTTGCCTTCGAAAGTTCCGTCAATGAAAGCCTGGAGTCAGACACTCATCTCTTTTGGGAAGTTCGAGAAGGAAAAGATTTCATACTTTGATTTGGTGACCGACACTGATGTGAACAAGACTGGATATGTAAAATGGGTCCTCAGCCATATGAATGAGAAGTCGACGGCCCAGCTCAAAGATCTTCGTGATTTCATCAAGATTTACCATCTGGAGGTTCATGGAGTTGATTCTGGCGTGTCTCATTTTGCCGATGGCAAGATCCGTGAGTTCAAAAAGTGATACTGGCGTTTATGAAGCTCGGACAGCTTCCAATCATTCTGCAGTTTTGATCGAACTTAGAAGATTATAAGCAGTGTGAATTCAGCCAGCAGCCAATCAGGTCCATCTGTTCTTATCAGTGTGACAACTGCTCAGCTCGTGTGACCAAGGGAACATTTCCATGCTCGAGGGAAAAGGTTTGCGCCCGTGCGTGCCCTTGGGAGGGCTTCCGCAACCAAATATATATATATATATATATATGAGATATGGACAATGATGGGATATAAGTAATCATTGCGGTATGCGGGTTTGTCCGGAAATTGGGAAGATCCACAAAATACGGCAACTTTATATAATGGGGAACATGAGCTAAACCACTGGATTTAGGAGTATACCGTATTTAACGAAAAATCCAGATGGATGAATCATTGGGCAATGATGTTCGAATGTTCGATGGGAACAACTGCAGAGAACCTTTCTGAGCCTTGCTGGAGAGCAAAATAGGAATGCTTGTTCGATGTGGGTCGAAAATTACTTGGGAGTGGAAGATCTTACACTTCTCCCAGACTTGGTGTTCAATGTGTTCAGGCATTTCCAGGACACCTTCACATTTGATAGGTAAACTGATGGTTTCTGGTCGATGTACTCCAGAACTGAATTTTTGTTCGGTGGGAGTATTTTTTTTGTGGTAATCCAACCTGGCAAAGAGATAACGGCCCGCATGTATGTGCATTTCTATTTTATGGATGACTTTCAACATGTTGTTGCCAAGATTGATTGGGAATTCGCCTCAGTTTGCCCCATGAGAACCTTCATTTTCCAATTTGTTAATGAGTGATCCTAGCAAAGAGGGATATGGATGTATCTGACGATGGAGATCGATGGAGGTACCCCCAGTTCTGGCTATTTTATTGGGGTCTTTTGGGGAAGATGCAGATTAATCAATGGATTTGCAGGGTACCCCATTTGGAGGAGCGGAAGCTACAGCGCTGGGAAGGGCCTGAGGGCATTGACGAGCCTCTGGAGGCGACACTTTCCAGTGGTGCTGAGATGGGGGAAAATATGAGACTGATATGGGTTTACCATGGTTTACCCTTCAGTACTCAACCATGGCTAGCTGGGAAATCCCTGGTTTCTGCGAAAATCATCGAACAATGGGATATTTTGCAGCAAAGCATGTTTGATTACCAGAGGTCAATATGTTAAAACCACCTTAAAGAAACGTAATTATATGGGAAGCCGTCAAGCTATTGGGTGGCAAAGACTTTACTGGCCAAGAGGACCACAAATTGACCGGGCATTTTTGGCATTCAGAAAAACATTTTGGTTGATGTCCCAATTTTGACCTTATCAATCTTTCCACCAGTTCAGTCTTCCATGGGGGTTCTAACTCAGACAGCGGCTTTTTGTTCGAACACATGCCATGTGTGAAATGTTTTAATACTTTACGAAGCCAGACCGACTCCTGACCAGCAACAATCAGGAGGTAGTAAACACGTAAAGAAAATGATATATAAACACTTAACTTCTGACAGTGTATCGAAAAAGTAAGTTGGGTTTGATCCTTGATATTACATGATATTACATGATATTACATGATATTACATGATATTACATGATATTACATGATATTACCACAATTTACTCACATAGCTATGTAGATTTCAATCGTAAACTACACGTGGCCATCCGTCAGGAGTTGTCCTGCCCTCGCAGGGGCCCCTGCGCTGTCGCTGAACGGGGGAGAGCTGCGTCCATTGAAGCGGGAAAATGATGAACCAATGGATTTACCCGGTTTTCTCATACCCTCTGGTAAACGTTTACATAACAATGGAAAATCATCATTTTTAATGGGTAAATCAACTAGAAATAGTACATTTTCAATAGCTATGTTAAATTACCAGAAGGTAATTGATTTTCAAACAAAGCCATACAGGGTATTTTATGAATCATTTCTACTATGTACATTTTACGAGAAACACCCAGGGATTTTGAACACATCCTCAAGACCTTTGCGAAGGCAAGATCTAACCATCAACAAGAAGCAATGGTAAATTCTACCATGAGCCAACCGGTAGAATCATTCTCGGGTAATCTAATCCAGCATAGCCATGGAAAATGGCCGGTGAAAGGATCATAATAAACGATGATTTCAATGGTGGAAACTCCATGACAAACTGTTAGATTAAATGATTTTAGGTTATTCCATGTTATTCCATTTTAGCTTAAAATCACCATTGTTAATGGGTAAATCAACTAGAAATGGTACATTTTCAATAGCTAATATCCATTAATGGTGTGTTTCCTGCACAGTTGGTGCTAAGCTGCTAAGGTGAGTGGGACCAGTTCAAGGCCAACGCAGAGCTCTTCGGTTATGTCTCTACGTACAAGGCGGGGCCCCCGGGGCCGGGGATGATGAAGTTCCGGGGGAAGCTGACCGCAACGGCAGCAATGTTTGAATGTCAGGAAAGTAATAGAACGTGGCATAGACGTGTAATACAACAAACACTTACATATTATATTTACATATACGTATATATATATAAATGATTATATATACACATTACATACATACATACATACATAATCATACATACATACATACGTACATACATACATACATGCATACATACATAATCATACATACATACATAATCATACATACATACATAATCATACATACATACATACATACATACATACATACATACATACATACATACATACATACATACACACATACATATACACATACACATACATATACATAACATATACATATACATACATAATCATACATACATAATACATACATCATACATACTACATCAGACATACATACATACATACTACATACATACATACATACATACAGACAATACAAATGCAAATACATATAATACATATACATACACATACATACATACATCATACATACATACATAAACATACATACATACATAATCATACATACATACATACATACATACATACATACATAATCATCACATACATACACACAATCATCAATACATACATACACATACATAACATACATACATACATACATACATACATACATACATACATAATCATCCATACATACATACATACATCATCATACATACATAATCATACCATACATACCATACATACCATACATACATACATACATACATACATCATACCTACATACATAACCATACATACCATACATACACACACACATACATACATACATACATACATACATACATACACATACATAATCATACATACATAATCATACATACATAATCATACATGCATAATCATACATGCATAATCATACATACATAATCATACATACATAATCATACATACATAATCATACATACATAATCATACATACATAATTACATATAATCATACATACATACATACATACATACATACATACATACATAATCATACATACATACATACATACATACATACATACATACATACATACATACATACATACATACATACATACATACATACATACATACATAATCATACATACATACACACATACACGCATACATACATACATGTATCCATCTTCATCTCACCACCTCCGCACAGCCACGAGCTCTCATCAGGAGGACATGTCTCAGTACTCCACGAAGATCGACGCGACGAAGATGCCCAGCGGTTGGCGAAAGAAGGCGGAGCGCGTGGCGACGGAGATCGAAGGCCAGGAAGGCGCGTCGGTTTCGGGGGCCTGGGGGGTGGGTAGATTTACCCAGAGACCTTGTGTGCAGTTGGGATGTTAGATTTATCCAGATATAATGTATTAAAATGTTATAAATGGGATAAGCCAATTCAATTATAGGGAAAATTGGACCAACAGCCAGTTATTGACCATGTTAGGATGTGTGGGATGATCCTGCAAGTTGACCAAGCTGGGAGATGATGGATCCTGTAGCCCTTCAATATGGTGGAAGCACTGGCCATGTCTGTCCGAGCTACATGAATCAACGTTGCTCCCAATGCCAACATGAAACTCCTGTACGATGTTGCTAAAGCTCGTGTCATGCTATCTTTTTAAGTTGCTTGATGTGACGTCCCCATTTTTGTCACGTTTTGTTGACACTATCCCAATAGGATGATGTTTGTACCAACCGCAGCCTTGCATCGCTGGAGGTGCCAGTCCTGCGGAAGAATCGGTGGATGCGCAGGATGAAGAAGACCTTTTCTCTGCAGTCCAGCGGAATGGCTCTGCCCAGAAAGTCCAGCGGAATGCGCCGCCATCTGCATTTTTTCTGCGTGGATGATCCATGGAAAGCAGAAGGTTTCTGTTGCAACAACCACTCTCTAGGACAAGAAAACAGATATAAATTATAAAGATATTATTTTCATCGTAGCTCCCCATCATGTCCCGCCATTCACAAGAAAACCACCCTTCATAGGGCGAAACGGTCAGCAGTGTGGTTTTCGATCTTCACCGCGGTGAAATTTGTACCATGGACAACCTGGTTGACACCGGCCGTTGAACTCGGCTTAAGCAAAGAGCTTGGCATGCGAGCATCAGGAGGCGCATTGGGAGTGCCATAGACGCTGTGATGAGATCGTTGCAAGACATGTCCAAATGATTTGATCGGGGAAACCAAAGCGCCTATGGCCGCCTGTGGATTCTCCCTTCTAAGTGGTGAATTTTGGGATCCCGAACTTTTGGGCATACTAGTGTGCAATGGAAGATCACAGAATTGATCGGATACGTGCCGGAAAGATAAATTGGTGCTGATCTTTCCAGTACTGCAGCCTTAGTGTTTTGCTTATATATATTTTTTTTTTGGCGTTGTGGGATAGGCCTTGATGGGGGTGGCCTCTCATGGCCTGGGCAGATCAGGATCCAAAAATGGGTTTGGATCCACAAGATCCAGGCTGAAGGGAAGAGTCCCAGGATTCGAAACCAATCTGACCTATCACTTAGATCTTGGATTCACTCAACAAAAAACCACTGGTATCACTGGTTGACGATTTTTGGGTGCAGAAAAATGTAAAAATGGGATGCCCCAATTTTCTGTATCTGTTTTCAGCCCGTTTCTTGAGCTTCCCCCCGGAACCTGGAGGTCGTTGAGGGCTTGCCGACGTCCGCGAAAAATGGTACGGCGACCACCCTGGAGCCGAGCTCCAGTAGGGTTGGTCGGGGACTTGGAGTGCCGAAGAGACGAGTGCAGCAAATTTTCAGGATGATGATGATAGTGGCTTATTCATGTTATTTGATGGTTATTTGATGGTTAACAATGGTGTTATTAATGGTGTTATTAATGGATGATGATGATGATGAGGATAATTACTATGATTATTTAGTATGATTAATTACTGTTATTGCCTTTTTATTTTTCATTTTTTGTTAGATGATAGCAACACAGTGTAAGACATGTCCCCAAAAAATGGAAACCTATGCCACTAAACAAGAGCAGCTAGTTCACTCGTTGCAGAACCAATCAAGTTGAAGGCAAGATCTGGATATATCCTGCTTCCAAGATCCACCTGGGGTGCAGGTTGGTGTCCTTTTCCTGGCCCTCTTGGTTCAGCCCTCAAAGCCGCGTGTGTTTGACAGGTTGGCAAATCATGCAATGATTGGCCAATGAGGCAAGCATACAAGGATTGAATGATGAAGTATAGTGATACACCAAATAATATCATATTCACAATAATATCAATTACATAACAAACCTACCATTTGGGGCAAGGCTAATGGGAATGTAGGTAGCTGCTGGCAAGGCTAGGAGCTGAGATTCTTGGGACCTAGAAGATTCAATAAATATAGCAATTCATGAGTAATAACTTGATAGCGCCGATTGGTGTATACATATATATATATATGATGTAACTATCAAAAATATAATAACATCATTCAATATCATTGCATATCAATTCTTTGGCTGGGTATATTACCTCATTTCTAGTGGTTGTGAAAATATCCACAGAGTATATGACTGAGTATACCATGATATACACACATATATCAATGTATATCCACGTATTTTTGTTGGTTGTGGCGATCAGTCTCCATAGAACTCTGGCGCTTGCCCGACCTTCGAGGCCTCTCAACTGTGGCACCCCACCTTCATCTCACCGGGACAGCCGGTGGGGCATCCGAGATGGTGACCCGGGGTGATCTGAATTGGATGGTAACAATCGAAGAGGTGTAGCAGGGATTCCGGTATTTTGCAGTACCTTTTATGGTTTCATAAAGTCTACTTTTATGAGTTTTTTTTTGGGTGAGCAGTCACTGCCAGTGTCAGTGTCAGCTGTCAGTGTCAGGGTTCATTGCTGCAGCCATTCATTGGGTCAACACATCCAGTGGTGAAGCTAATCCCAAGAAGAACAGCTGGGAACCAAGTGAAAAGTTAGTGTTGTAACCAATCCATCAGTGTCAGTGCAATATGGCATGATTTGAATGTGATAATCATATATTTTGCACTTGCAACATTGGCTCCAGTGTAGCTAGCCTGGCCAATTTGGGCACATGTGTCACAGGCCTGGCATTGGCATTTCAAAATTAAACCCAGCCGTCAGTGAATCTTGTCAACATGTGTGTATTTTTTCCTGGGCTGTTTATCAGCACATGCCAGGATTCCATTTTCAAGATGAAAAGGCCTGCAGCTGCAGCCCTCACTGTGCCAGACCCAGGTTGCAAAAGACAGGGCAGGTCAGGCAAAAAATCATGCAATGCATCAGATGGATCGCTTGATGATCCAGGAACTGCAAGCAGCCCCATCAGAGCCATCAGGAGAGCCAGGACAGTAATTAACTGCATTGTGCAGCATTGATGTGCCATGACCTTGCAAGCAGACCATGCCAAGCATTTTTGCAGGAAAAGGGAGAGCCACAGCAGAATGCTTGTTGGGCACCATGACTGTTTACTGGTTGCAGTCAAACTTTATGTATATATTGAAGGTTCCGTGATTGATCTCTTCATGTGACAGGTCTGACAGGTGGGTTGGATTAGATAGGTCACAGGTGGATGCATGATAGTATGCAAAGATTGCAGGCAGTGTGTCAGCAAACTTTGTACATTTTGGCGTCTTTCAATGCATCGTGCTGCAGGTTCTTAGTGGCTGCTGCAGCCTAATTTTTAATGGCTTTTGATGGATTGGTCAGCTCAGCGTCACTGTCAGGGTCAGAACATTGATGCTATCCTTCCTTCCCAGTCTTTCGGTTCCATTGTGCATGCATATTTGTTTTCTGTGTGGTGTATACTCATTGCCCAAAAGATAGACAAGTAAATCGCTCAAGTTCCTGCCAAATGAGCATGGACTGCAGACAACATGAATGTTTTTCTCAGCGCATCTAGGTTTTGGCAGGAAAATTTGATTTGAGATATGTGTGGTCAGCCCAGAGCATTGTATTTTTTCAAGTTTCAGTTTGCATGAGATCCATTGATTCGTGCGAGGTCTTCAGCTACGTCAATTCGTTTCGACTTCTCCGATTGATTTTGCGACAGTCTGCGGACACCATCATCTTGAGTGGATTTGATGCCCAGGTCCGCGGAGTGGCCATTGTCATGTTGACATCAGGATTTCTCACTGCAACTTGGACATATTAAATTTATGGCAGTCCAAATGTTTCTCCAGCTTGATGGATTCGCATGATTCCAAACATTTATTTGGATCTCGACCAGCATTTAAGGCAGGCTTGAAAAAAGGCCACATGAATCAGGGTCTGAATACCCAACTTTCATAAGGGGGATTTGGGGCACTTTGTGATACATTTTTTGATAAACAAACGTGGGGGGACGAACATCCTGCTATACTGCGCCAACTATGTTGATTTGACTACCAATAGCCAGGGTATCAGGTTTGAGTCTGGGATGTTTTTGGGTTCAGCTCAGGTAAATCGAACATGACAATGCAGAAGCAGTTCCACTCTTCCTCTCCTGCAGCGAGAACTGGGGATTGCAGTTGTTGAGAGTTCAGCTTCAGCAATGTCTTGGATGCGTTTGAAAAAGGGAATGTTTTCTGATCTCCGTTGCTGTTTTTTGTTCGAACCATAAAATCCATAAATCATTTCTTGGCAAGCAGGTTTGGATTTGTAGCACCTGTCAGGACAGACATCATCAAAGCAACCGGAGCCCGATGTTGGTACCCATTCAACTACTGAAGGCTGTGCAATCTGGTGAATGGGGCTCACTTCCATTGGAGGGCTTCAAGCCCCTGCCCCCTGCCAGGTCACGATTTCAATATCATAATTTTCTTTGTGCCTTTTGTACTGACTGATAAGCAGGTGTTTGTATACAATATTTTGTTTTTTTTCATTGCCTTCTAATTTCCTAAGAATATTTGAAAATATAATATACTCCACCACTCTGGTCACGAAACTTGGGCGTGTTGTGTTCCGCAGGCCGCAGCCAATTCCAGAAGAACTAGATACCAGCCACCCAACAGCATCTGGGCCAGTGTCAGCTGCAGCGCCACCACCAACATCTAGTCCGGTATCAGCTGCTTCTATTGCACGATCACCTGCTTGCACTGATCCAAGGTCACTCGTGATGTATCTTGGTCTGAGCTTGTCATTGTCGCTTTTTGATTTGCTCCGACCTGCCAGGTAAGGGCCTCTAGATTTTACAAATTACCAAAGGTGCAACTCCTTCCTTCTTCCTCTCCTTCTCTTCTTCCTCGCCAGCTGCGGATGCTGTGGAGCGCGGTGTGCCCTGATGGGTTTGCTCAATATCTGTGTGAATATTCTGTTGGGCAAAGTGTTTAGTTAGCGTCACCAGTAGCAGCTTTCAGATATGCAGCATTTCGGTTGGAAAGCCAAAGACCGTGCAGTCAATGGCAGCCAGTGCCAGTTCCACACGTCAATTTTTTTTGCATTGTGTTTTAGTATTGATGAGTAGCAAGCAGCAGAGCACTTGAGATTGATAGATGCTACCTGATGGTCTGATGGCACGTTTTGTCTCAGGCTTCTTGTGCTGCATGCAGCTGTTGCGAATGGCATTTACAGAGCTGCCGCGTGTGAAAAAACAACTAGTCAACCAGTGCACAATTTTGCCACGCTCATGATGCCACATCTTGAACTGGCATTTGAAGAATTAGTGTCAATTTCAATGTCAATGTTTTGGTGACAAACTTATCGCACTCAACTTTCACAAAAACAGCAGCCAGTGTCAGTGTCAGTGTCAGTGACAAACACAAGGAATGACTAGACTTTTTTGAACGCAAAATAGGAATCCCCGTGCCATTCTAAAAATAAAGCGCGGAACAAAACATGTTTGGGTGGTATGTATTGTTGGTTTTTTCTATCTTTAAAAACCCACGGTCTGAGGCCCCACCTGCAGTTTGGAGCCTCAACGCTGGGAGT